AATCAGAGCTTTCTGCGCTCTTGACATCAAAACGAAGAATCAAACGAGCAATTAAAGCATTGCGTATCCACCTGCATTCTTTACTAAAACCATTATCAGTATGTTTAATTGTCATACGTTGATTATTTTGATGACCCATGTATTTAGCAAGTTTGGCTCCGATCGAAGGCATCGATTTTATTGACATCAAAGCTGACATCGACAGTATCTTAAAAAGGAGGCAACGGTGGGGGGATTGACGCACTCAAAAGTGCATAAGCAATAAGAACTAAACGTCAAAACATGTGCTTTTTTTCTGCATAATTTTTTCGATTTTCGATTATGCAATCTTTGTGCAGCCTGACTGCTTTCATTGAGTGCAGAGGAGTGACACCACGACCCCCTTTTGGTCTTCTGGTACATTAGGTTGACACTAGCTTACCCCTTGTTTGGCATGCCAACTTCAAGTTGTTAATAAAGGCCTTTCGTGAAGACACTTAAGTGTTACAGAATAGGCGAAAGGTTAGTAGAAGAGCTCGATGTGCGTAGCTTTTGTGGCCCTTTGAATGACCTATCCGATTTTAAGCTGGACCTCAATACCCCTTGATCTAATCGCCATTAGCTAAGTAGCAGAAATGTAGAAAAAATAATGAGTTTGTGCCATGGTGAACCTCCTCTTTGTTTCACATGGAAATCCCAACTGGTGGTCCCTCTGATGTGTACGTCAGATTGGAGACGGAATTTTATTTAGACGACATTAATAAAATCAAGATGTTGTTCTAAAGTGTTTTCGTTCTTCAAACTGATTGATTCCTGAAGGAATCGTTTTTTCCTATTTGCCTTCTTTTAGGTTTTTTCGGTAGATGTAGGCGTAATGGAGTATCAAGCCATCGTTGTGCATAGTCTTTATGCCACTAGTGGAATCAGTTCCCAAATTAAGATTTTAGTTCGTGTAAAGAGAGCCATTGCCTACAACTAGGTTGCCAAAAAGCGGCAGTATTTTAATTCCTGGCCCTTCATAGACCGCTGCAGTACCAGTCATCTTTAGCAGATGCCTTCCTTCCGAAACTTTTCCGTGTAGCAGATGATTAACGAAATTGGGGTTAATAGTTTTGCTGCACACTTGTCCGAAAGCGCCAATGTAGAATATTAGCCTTCTTGAAGGTTGGGTAGAGATTTTGGAGAGTTGGAAAGCTACTAAAGTAAATGGCATTGGAGAGACTGTCAATACTCGGAGCTTCAAATCCGGAAGAATAAATTGGCTGAGACTAAGTCGTTATGGGGAAGACTTCGGTGGCCTTTTTCCATATTTAGCATCCACACCTCTGACAAGTTAGTTTGAAATCTCTTAGCAATAGTGATCGCACAATTTTTTTTAGATTGTGTCGTACTCACCAACCCTCTAGCTGACGAGAACGCGCGCCAGAAGAGTTCCACATGGGATCAAAACATTGCCAACAGCTTTACCATCCCGATATCCAGTTCCAGTTGGCTTCAACCACACTCCAGTTACCAAACCTCCCAATTCCCAAACGGTGGTATGGTCCCCATGGACCCCTTTAATTCAGAACACCCACTTATCTCGAACTTGCAATTTCAAGAAAGGCCAACCTTTGCCTCTCTCGACGCATACACTAGTTTTCCACCGACAGGAAGTCGGTCTGGAGCCTCCTCAGGTTCTACAACTTCTCCATCTATTGCCTTCTCGGTACCGAATTTCACAAGTTGCTGCTCAGAACCTTCGCAGGGGAACTTCGATTCAAATGTTCTTAAACCGGCCTCCTTGGAATGGACATTAAAGCCTGAATTAGAGTCGGGAGGAGCGTACCTGCAGGACTTGTCACCTTTTGGAGTTAGTTGTGGGCTAGAGTTCTTGTTATTATTTATCAGTCATCCCACTCAGATACTTCTTATCAGGCTTTCTTTAGCATTCACATATATTTATACGCACATTTAATGCAATAACGTTAAAATGAATGTCAATAACTTTACTCAATCAAATTTTAGAGCAAAATTTTGGGCCCTGGAGCAACTGGTCTGCGACAACCTTTGTTATCTCCTCCGGAAGGTTGGTTGGTCTTCAATTCAATTTGATATTTAACAACTTTAGATATTTTACTAGACCACACTTGGTGGCCGTCCTTGTCACGCGAGTTTGTTAATCTATTTTCTGGAGAAGTTCATGTCTTGACTAGAAACTAGGGAAGGAGCTCAGCTTGAATAGACGCTTTACAAGGCCGAGGCCAATCGTTTTGACAGTAATGCTTCCTTCATTATGTCGCTTTCTCCTTTACCTTCAACAGTCGATCAATGGTTCAACCGTCTGACAACGGCATGGCAAACCGCGTGGCGAGACGGAGTGTTTCCGAATCCCTCTCAAGTGCGCCTCCGTTTGAATCTGGATCAGCCGTCGACAGAGGAAACAGAGGACTGGCGCTTAACACTTGCAAACCTTTGGAGTGACCTCCTTCTCCGCCGTATTGCTGATTTCGCTTCTAGTCTATTTCATACCCTTCCCTCCAAATCCATCCCTAACTTTCAGCTCTCCCCTGCTCTTCTTGGATGGATCTTTAAAGTATCCTAAATCTCTCTTCATTATTGCCTTTTATTGCGGTGTTAGTTCTTATACGCATCGTTTTTACTCCAACATTATAGAACCGTCTGGTAAATTGTGTTCCAATAATTCTGGCCAGTCTTCTCCTCCAGTCCTCGGAGACGGACAGGGCTTCTTCTTCGCCAGCTTCGCAGTCGCAGAATCAACAAAACGAGGTTGATGATGGTGGATCGTCTCCCCGTTCACCAAGAGACTGTAAATCTTCGTCAGGCGAAACTTCTTATCCTTCGCCTTGTGCCAACGGAGGAGGAGGAGGAGGAGGAGGAGGGGCAAAAACGCCAACATTGTCTGTGAGCTTTCAGGTAGCACCACAGCACCATGTCTTTATCAGTCTCTCACGGTTGAATTCTAAGTTGGCGGAGAACCACACCACCGCTTCCTATCCTATGCTCCAGTACTTGGACGCCTATGTCTGCGAACTAAATAAATTTTTGACCGGGCAGACCCTCCTTCTCAGTGCATATATGGCTGTCAAACTCACCGAACCACCTACTCCAGGAGAGCTCATGCAGGTTTGTTGCTTCGTGGCAGTGTTTAGAAAATCAGTTGAACTTATCAGAGGTCGTAATTCTACTTCGAATTAGTTGGCGTTTGTGCTTAACTTGTACCAAAAATTGGCACTTACTTGAGATAGGAATTGTTTCGGATAGGACCTTAACATTAACTGTTGCTGGTACGGTTGATTAAATTTGAATTTATTGCATTTACTGTTTACTCCTCTCTACAAGCACAACTGTACTTTCTAAGCGTCAAAGCGGGATTTATACCAAAGATTAAGCATGGCAACACAATCAGTGGCTTAATTAAAAACGCATTTGCTTTTCACCATAATGATATCAAGTTGGTCAAAACATGTTGGTTTACTTGATCGTCATGTCTACCAGTGGTCAGTGTCAGATTGCCTCCTCATTTACGAAGACTAGGCCAGCCCTTTAGGAGCTGTCAAAGCCTATGATTATGCTTTAATTACATTCTAGCTCCACCTTGTGATGCGAACAGGCCTGCCATTTTAATAACAATCGTTTTAAACTGAGCTACCAATCATGCTTTCTCACCTAAGAATTGGTTACGTGCACTTTTGGTAGTTGTCATAATAATCATGCGAATCTGTGGCACTCACTTTATGGTTGTTCGTTTTGTAGAACAGTTGGCTAATTTAGTGTTAAAGTGATGAATCTTTGGGCTACCGAAAGGAGTGCGCGGTCAGTTCTACCTGTTGGCCAACTAACTTACTCGTCCGAATGCCACCATAGCTTTGCAGTACTTTTAAAGGGCTACCCAATTTATGGAATGTTAAATAAGGATCATGGTTTTTTTTTTCAATTACTAATAGGGCAGCACTTTATAGACGCCTGTGGTCTGGCGCTACCCTACTACTTGAGCAACTGGCCTTCCATTTAGTAATTTTTGTTTCGCAATTCCAGTTGAAGCATTAGTCAAATTAGGTTAATTTTAGTGATTCCAGGTGGACTGACAATGTCGAATTCACTTGCACAACCACTTGACATTAGACGCAATGCAAGAACTCACTCCTTTTCAAAGCTCTAATAATTGCCATTTTCTTG